TTTTTTTAAGGTGTAAGTAAAGCTGTGTAGGTCATATTCAGGGAAGAAGGGTAGGGCTGCAGAAATAAAGTGATTTAACTCCTAAATGAAAAGCAAAACTGGAGGGCAGGCTTCCCCAAACTCTGGCCCTCCAGATGTTGCTGAACTACAACTCCCATGATTCTCAGCTTATCTATTTCATTCATAGAATCATGAGAGTTGTAGTTCAGCAACATCTGGAGGGCCGGAGTTTGGGGAAGCCTGCTGTAGGGGCATGGTATATCACTATTAAGCTAAAGGTTTTTTTTGGTGCTGGTGCTCAGACTAATATTTAAGCTTTTTGGTTGGGCATTACATTGTGTATATTATTCATTCCTTTGTCAGTTCTAGTCAGCTTATATTTACACGCAATATAAGACAATTAATTCAATGTTATTCAAGCATGTCTTACTCTGGCTTTAAGTGAGCAAATTTTTCCTTTCTGAATATCTGCACTGCCATCTTCAGCTCTGAAAAACAAAGCAATAGGGGGAGAATTCTTTGTTACACTATGTCAATCAAAACCATTAAATTACAAGAGCTGAATAAAATATACACATATACACAAAATGGGCAGACCATGTTTTAAAATCTGGGTAACATCACAAATCTCATAATGCATGGTTTAACAGCACAGAGGTGGCCAATGTCAGAGCTTCACTCCCAGCCTATTACTATCATCCAGTTGGAAAGGGTAATGTAGATGTTCACTTTGACATTAGTCTAACTGGTACAGTGGAGCCGGGCAAGTCATGGTTTTTGTCATGCCTGTACGTAAATACACCAAACAAATCCTTTCTTTTAGTAACACATATTTATTCACCTCACATTGAGGTATATAATATAGAAAAAGGCATATAATATAGAAAAAAAAAGAATCAAGGCGATTTTAAAGCTTACCTTGTATCAACATTTCTAAAGAAGCTGCATAGTGCATCATCATAAATTCCTTTCTGTAACATCAAATGTAGATTTTAAATTAGTATTTTTTACCTAAATGACAGCATCAAAGAGTTCAACAACAATATGCTTTCTATTTATGTTCTACAAATGTGAACCAAAAGGTAAAAAATGTAAATATGCAATGATGCAGCCATATATACACACTCAGATATTCAATCCACAGCTTGCAACATTTAACCCAACATTGGCATTTGCTTATTTATGCATTTAAGGATGAAAATGTGGATGAGTGTGCTCTATGGGACATTACATATGCATGTGCCAGTCTTATCAGTTAAACAGCAGTTGTGTTAAAGTGTGCATGGTGCCCCAAACTGTGTATGTATTTGATGCCTCAACTTGTATTACCTGTGAGAACATTAGAGGGGTTTACTATGATATAGTTGAGGGTTCTCCAAACTCTAGTCCTCCAGATGTTGCTAAACTACTAATCACATGATTCTCTGAATGAAACAGAAAGCTAGAGAATCATGTGAATTGTAGTTTAGAAACATCTGAGATCTGAAGTTTGGAGAGCCCTGGTATAGTCTAAAGAGAGGAAAAAAAGAAGAGGTAGACTAAGAGGTAAATTAGTAAACATCTCTGCGTCTAAACTGAGAGTATTTACTTTATATAAAGGGAAACTATAGTGCTAGGAAAACAAAGTAGGTTCCTAACACTATTGCTCCCTATAGTGCCATACTCCCTCACAGCCTCCCCCTTCCAGCATGGTGCAGAAGGGTTTAAAATCTCGTTATCATTACCTGATTTCAGCGCCGATGTGCAGGTTCAGACTCTGCTGACATCGGCAGAGGAGGAGTGCTTGCAGAGCGCCGATATCGCATTAGAATGCTTTCTGATGGAGTTTTGGGCGATGCTGGATGTCCTCATGCAAAAGTCGCCTACCCACCCAGACGTCCCTCTAGTGGTAGTCTGGAGTTAACCCTGCAAGGTAATTATTGCAGTTCATCAAAAACTGCAATTATTGCAATTGCAGAGTTAAGAGGCATGGGACACTGCACCCAGACCACTTCAATGAGCTGAAGTGGTCTGGGTACCTATAGTGTCCCTTTAAAAGTAATACAGACAGATGTGCTTTAATTTTCCTTTTATTTTAAAGAGTCAAGATGGTCCTACGTTACTCAAACAAAAATTAGACACACACATGCTAACCCTAAACCCATATTCCTATATAATTTTTTGGGGTTTAGTCTGTGGGTTGCAAGGAATTAATTTGGGAATATTCCAAACAAACTAAGGTGATAGGTGTTGACCTCTGGAGTTGCATTATTACATGCAATGTAAATCTGTGTTCTAAAATAAGATAAGACTAAATCTAGGTGAACATGGAGAATTCTGCTTCACAAACGCGGGAAGTGTTTACCAAGAACAGTAAAGGATTGCCAAATTAAAAGAGAAACCATGACCTTTCTAGAAGTTGCACCATTGAATAATATATTACAACAGCAGTGTGACTTTCTAAACTAACATATCTATGCAGAGGTAGGTTACATATAAAATGGCACACTGCCACTGACAAAATTGAATTTTGAGAGCAAGCCAATAGCCATTTTACTGTTTCAATAGCTCTCTATCAATGGTTCTCATGCAGACCTCAGTTATTAGCTTATCACCTAAGATCCAGCACGGTTATGCCCAATTTGTCAGCTTTGTGGGTGTTATACTATTGTAACACCCACCTCTGGTTTGCCTGTCTGTGTCTTATCCATGCTCTTCTTGCTTCTTCTATGCCAGAAAGTTGATGGGCAAATGGTAGAAAAAACTATTTTCTAATCATTTTTTCTTTATCCCAAATAATAATAATAATAATAATAATAATAGTAACAACAACAACAACAACAACAGCTAGAAATTGTGCTAGCACAGTGTACAGATGTGATTTTATGCTCATTAAAATACCACACGTTATATGTACTGTAATAGGTACACATTTAACACAACAAACATTGCCAGCAGTAGTAGTTATGGTGCCAGGAGCCCCTCAGCATTGTCTTTCTTTAGGGAGTCAATTCTTAAGCAATATCAGTTTTGTGACGCTTTGGAAATCATTCTCTCAATGGAAGAAGTTCTATCTTAACATTGTATGGTTACTGCAGTCTTTTAAGTGTATTAACAGCTATAAAGCTCTTTATTTTAAAAAAAAAATGAGCATTGTATAATAATAATAATAATAATAATTTCTCGCTTCAGCCAGATCACTCAAGCACCATCAAGGGATTAACCTCCAGCTGTTGAGCACCATACAACCAGCCTGCTCCTTTTCCACCACTGTGAGTTTATCAATAAATGTTATTTCTACACTTGTCACTTAATAGTCCCAGCTGCAGTGACAATGAATAAGGGGACAATATACACCATAACCACTACAGCTCTGTGTAGTAATTATGATGGTGCTTTGGGTCTTTGGGTACTGTAAGGGTTTTTCAAACAGATTTTTGATTGGTTTGACAAGACCCATAAGGGGCCAAAATCCAAGGAGAAGTCCCTAGCCCCAAGACTGCATCAGAAGAAGCTTCCCTCTTTTTCTGAGTTATGCCACCTGGCTGTGATAACTGGGCTGAACCAGCACTCACATCCTAATACTGTGTTACTAAGTGCTAGAATAAACCTCCCCTAGTGTCCAAGGCAATCATTGTCATCCAATCTACTGTTTATGGTACTATGAGTCCCGTAGCGGTGACAAGAAGTACAGTCATTTTTCAGAACTATTTACCAATTGTTTGCCACTTACCTTGCTGTGTTGGGCACCCACAGTCCCGCTAGTCTGAGTTGCTACGATAAAGCTCATACTACTAGATTTTCATCCCAGTTCATACGAGATTTAAACTGTATTTATTGGCTGAGAACAGGTGCTATAGTAGTTAAATTGCTTAGAAAGACCCTTTAAGTTATGTTTCTAATATTCTTGTGGATACTTTATAAGACTGCATTTGCAGATATTCATACAGCATATATTTATTTTGTTCTGGGTTATTTTCATAAAGATACGTTGTACAATGTGATTTACTTTTTTGGGAGTTGCACAATTGTATAAGTATTACAGCATTTTTCTGAGAGGTACTCATAATACATTAGCTGAAACTTCAAACAATTAATTTTCCCTTTTTTTTTTCTTGGGGGGTGGCATTTGGTACTGCTCATCTAGCGGATATATTGTTTACAACTGTAGTTATGCTATGATCAAACACCATCTTATGTCTACAGTATCATCTTTACCCCTCCCTTATCCCTCCCTGTATCATTAAACCTTCCTCCCCTATCCTTTTCTCTATACTCAGTCTGTTGTGGTGCTTTACTAATTTGGTAACTACACAGTTTATCTGCTTATAACAATATTGTGGTCATGTTGCCCTTTATTGAACATTGTTCGTGTTTTCACGCTGCTATGTATGTGCACATGATAAAAATAATAAATATTGATTTAAAACAAAAGATCACATGTTGAACATTCTAAAAATTATCAGTTTTTTTTGTTTGTTTCATATTTTCAGAATATGTCTGCCCTTTTTACTACTGTCAAGACATATAGTATAAACTCTTTTAGTGACATTTTCAGCTCATGTCCACCCAGTGAGGGCAGGGTTACCTTGTTGACAGCTGCATGCTCCCTCAATGCCAGGTCCCAGAATCTGCAGCCAATCTGATTGCCACATTGCCCAACTGCAACAAAATGAAACACAATATGGTTTTAGAAAACTTCCAGTTTGTCACACTATTACAATACATTGCACATTTAGACTGGGTCCATATACAGCCTGTGATCTAGCAGCAAAGAACTGACACATGTTCCTATCACTGTCACACACACTAAATAAAACTGTACTTTTAATATGTTTTTATCTTTCTTTTCTTCTGACTACAAATAACTCACCTTGCACTACAACAGACTGGGTCATGTCAGCACCAACTGTACTCTTCACCCACTGTCAATCGCCGGGCACTAAAACCCCCAGGAACCTTTGTTACCAAGAATAAGTACACGCACGGAACAGTTTCACTGTCGGACCAAACAGAGGCGCCTGGCGTTCCCGCTGTCCTCCTCTGCTACAGTCGCTTAGCAACGGAGACCTTCTCAGACGGAGTTGTAAGTAGTTGACGTAAATATTTCCTATCACGATGTCAGCGTAGCGGCCATGTTGCCGTAGTCTTGTACTCGGGAAAATGGACGCCTACACAGCACATAGCTGGTAGTAATACTTTAATTAGTGTGTATAAAACTCAAGCTGAAACCGTTCAACAGAATAAAAGCAAAGCCTTTAGAGCGATTCTTTGTTATATGATGGCGGGTGTCTGTGCCTCTGGCATTTTATCAATTGATTTAGTACAAATTACATGAAAAGGTAAAAAACAGCAGTGTAAATAATGGTAATATTTACAGGGACACTCCACTTCCCAAATAACAATAAAATAATATATAAATACACACTCTCTTTTCATTTGGTGTATATATGAAAAGCTGCAGATCTTTTGTCTGCATACTTTGCAAGCCCACCTATTTAACAACGCCCACACTTTATGTGACTGTCCAATCACAGACTTCCCCATGAAGCTTAAAGGACCACTATACATACTCGTTTTCCTGGCACTATAGTGCCCTCAGGGTGCCCCCACCCTCAGGGTCCCCCTCCCGCCGGGCTCTGGGGGGAGGAAGGGGTTAAACTTAGCTCTTTCTCCAGCGCCGGGCGGGGAGCTCTCCTCCTCCTCTCCTCCTCCTGGGCTGAATGCGCATGCGCGGCAAGAGCCAGTCTCATAGGAAAGCATTATCAATGCTTTCCTATGGATGCTGGCGTCTTTTCACAGTGAGAAGCACGCAAGCGCCTATAGCGCCTGTCAATGAGACAGCCACTAGAGGCTGGATTAACCCTCAGTGAAACATAGCAGTTTCTCTGAAACTGCTATGTTTATAGAAAAAAGGGTTAACCCTAGCTGAACCTGGCACCCAGACCACTTCATTAAGCTCTAGTGGTCCTTTAATGAGAAGTCTTTGCAAGGCAGGAGCCCTGGTCAACTAAATATACACAAGCATTTAGGATTCAGCTATGCATTTACAGTATAAGGAAATAAATTAGACAGCACATAGTGAAGTACAGTATAATTAAATAAAATCTGCACTCAATAAATTGCACTCAAAGAAGTGTAAAAGTATTGGAGCGCGTCCCCTGATCAAGGCTGTGAGGACTACAACCTTCTTGGCTTTCCTTTCCGTCACATATAAAGTCCTGTGTTAGAAATGGACTGGTCACCATGTACAGTGGTTCAGCAAATCTATTGTGGGAAAATAAGCATAAAACAAAATAAATGTAAACAAAATAAAATAGAATGGTCCAACATGTTTCTTCCACCTTACTGAACTTCTTCAGCGACACAACTAAATGCAATGAAAAAAAAAAGTTATATATAAAAATGAAAATTCTGTATTCCGTGATTCCCTCCATAAAGTTCAGATATATGAATCAACAAGATTGTCCAGATTACATAACAAAAAACACTAATTGAAGTGGTCTGGGTGCAATATCCCTGTCCCACTTAGTCCTGCAATGTAAACTACAACGATTACCTTGCAGTACTAAGACTTCCTGGATGTTAACGGACTTCTGGTCACTCTGCATAAGGACATCCAGTGTCAGTGAAATCACTATAGGAAAACATTGAAGCTATCCTTTTTAATGTGGAGGGCCTAAGTCACTTGTGGTGCTCGCCGCAGATGCACATTAGCACCCCCCTGTCAGATGACATTAGATTACGTGGAACGCCGACCCAACGCCAAGGAAGATCGAGGCTGGAATCAGGTAGGTCAGGTAAGTGATTAAAGAAGGATTTAGTTGGGGGGAGGGGTGGAAAGGTGGGTCCACTTGACTCCAAAGTATCTATTATGTGTATCAAGTATATTTATCTATGGGGTAGCTGCCTGATTATATTCCCTCCTCCTCCAATTGGCATGTAACTGTTCTATGTAAATGCATTTCAAATCTTTCCAATTGAAAGAGGGACACTTGTTGCACCCGAAACCGAGTGGGTAGTAATACCTTTTTTTAATATTATTTATGTGTTCCACCACTCTAACCCTTAAAAGAATTTTGGTTCTTCCTCTGATGAATTGCCTGCCTTTTTGCAGAAATAAAGAAAAATTGGCAGCTTTACAAAATTAACCTTTTTGGACCTATTGTTCCCCACCTCAGCCCCCACCGATGAGCGGTGGGTGGGGGCACTAAGTAACAAAAGGGGGGGACATATTGTCTTCCCCCCAGACCCCACCCATGAGGGTTGAGTGGGGTCCGAAAGTAACAAAAGGGAGGGGCGATCCATTGACAAAAGGAGGACCTATTGTCCTCTTTAGCCCCACCCTTTGGCGATGGGTGGGGACTTATTGTAAAAAATCCCCCCCCATACAACTGACTAGGTGTCACCAAGCCCCTAGTCACCCCCCTTCCCTTTAAAATTAAACCCTACCTGCCCCCACACCCTAAGAATAATGAGGGGGGAACAAAATAATGAAATACCTGTAAATAAAAAAATTCATACTTACCATTAGATGTCTTCTTTTTTAAAAAAATTGCTTTTTTCAGCCCCAAAAAAGGCCAAATAAAAAGCCATAATTCCCATTGAACTTTGATAATTGAAAAAATACGAGCGCAAAAAAAAGCACAAAGAAAAACCAGATGCCAAAAAAAAGAATCCATATTCAATCAGCGAGGGCACCACGCAGACTGAGCTCTGCAGGGCAGGGAAGGGCTTATAAAGGCTTGGGGACCCCTCGTCACCTGTGGGGCGGTATTTTTTACATTTAGCCCCCACACGTTGCCAATGGGTGGTGGCTGGAGGGGGGACAATAGGTCAGCACCCCTTTTGTCACTGAGGGCCCCCACCCACTGCTCATGGATTGGGGGGAGACAATAAGACCTCCTCCCTTTGTTAAAAAGGGTCACCACTCATAGGCGGAGGCTGGAGGGAGGATTGGTCCCCCCCCCTTTTGTTACTTTTGCCCCCCTACCCTCATGGGTGCAGTCTGGGGGGAGACAATATGCTCCCCCTTTTGTTACTTAGCGCCCCCACCCGCTGCTCATGAGTGTGGGCCAGGGGGGAACAGTAGGCCCCCTACTTTTGGCTCCCACCCGCCGTTAATGTGTGGGGGCCCATGAGCGGTGGCTGGGGGCCGGTGGGGACCCTAGGTCCCCCTTTCAGTTGAATAGTCCCCACTCGCGGGGCACAGGTGGGGGCTGGGGGAGGACACCCTGGTAATTATTTTAGTAGATGCCCCACCATAGGGGACCTGCGCTAGGTGGCAGGCTTTTTTTTAGAACAGTGAGAAGCCACTGTCTGCTTACTGTTTAGTAGACATGCCTCTACTCGCAGAATATCGAGAGATTTCAATCTCCCTTATGCTAATATGGGGGTCATATTGATCCTCATAGAATGACTGGGGACATGGGGGGAGTTAGGAAGTGCTCCCCGAAGCTTCTATTTTCACATATTACAAAGAGGGAGCTGCAAGCCGGTGGCTCCCTTCTTGTAATAAACGAAACAAACTAACAAAAAGGTCTTTGTTCGTTTGTTTGAAATTTTAATTTATCCATTTGTCTTTCTAACTAATGAATTGATTGATTAAATTCCGGTCTGAATGCCCAAGTGTTCAATTGGGCATGCGCAGGAAATTCATAGTGAAACATAGAAACATAGAATGTGACGGCAGATAAGAACCATTCGGCCCATCTAGTCTGACCAATCTTCTAAATACTATTATTAGTCTCTGGCCTTATCTTAGCCTTATGTCTATCCCACGCATGCTTAAACTCCTTTACTGTGTTAACCTCTACCACTTCAGCTTAAAGGCTATTCCATGCATCCACTACCCTCTCAGTAAAGTAATACTTCCTGATATTATTTTTAAAACCTTTGCCACTCTAATTTAAGACTATGTCCTCTTGTTCTGGTAGTTTTTCTTCTTTTAAATATAGTCTCCTCCTTTACTGTGTTGATTCCCTTTATGTATTTAAATGTTTCTATCATATCCCTCCTGTCTCGTCTTTCCTCCAAGCTTTACATGTTAAGTTCCTGTAGAATATTGCATATTCTATGTTTCTATTGATAATATATGGATGTGTGGATTGACATAAGTAACAGATGGTCTAAGTCACATGGTTTTCTTGTATGCGAGCTCTGGAATGTAAGTTGGCGTTCTTGTCCTTATATGGCTAGAGTTAAACTTTGATGTAAATATTGGCAAATGTATATAGTAACTGAACAAAGGGACACAAGGTCTCTTGGCTCTCTTTCCTGTACAACAATGTAACTCTCTCTTCAGGAGTCCAGCAATTACCATCTCCTGTTGAACATCCATTATCCAGTAACATCCTTTGTTGTTTTATTATGTATCAGTAACTAAGAATAAACCTGAAGAAATCGTAAGTCAGATTGCGTATTAGTACTTTTCATTAATATAGATGTATATTAATGTAGCAAGCCTTTGGCCCAAGACTATTTATACAAAAGACGTATATATCAAGCAAGGGAAGAAAAAGAAGAAGAAACAAGAAGATTTTACAGTTCCTTTAACCTTTCCTTGTAAGTTTTATCTTGCAATCCATGAACCAGTTTAATAGCCCTTCTCTGAACTCTCTCAGTCTAAAGTATCAATATCCTTCTAGAGATACGGTCTCCAGTACTGCGTACAATACTCCAAGTGAGGTCTCACAATGGCATGAGCACTTCCCTCTTTCTACTGCTAATACCTCTCCCTATACAACCAAGCATTCTGCTAGCATTTCCTGCTGCTCTATTACATTGTCTGCCTACCTTTAAGTCATCAGAAATAATCACCCCTAAATCCCTTTCTTTAGATGTTGAGGTTAGGACTCTATCAAATATTCTGTACTCTGCCCTTGGGTTTTTACGTCCAAGATGCATTATCTTGCACTTATCCACATTAAATGTCAGTTGCCACAATTCTGACCATTTTTCTGGTTTACCCAAATCATTTGCCATTTGGCTTATCCCTCCTGGAACATCAACCCTGTTACATATCTTTGTATCATCAGCAAAAAGACATACCTTATCATCAAGACCTTCTGCAATATCACTAATAAAATTATATTAAAAAGAATGGGTCCAAGTACAGATCCCTTAGGTATCCCTCTGGTGACAAGCCCATGCTTCAAATATACTCCCTTGACTACAACCCTCTGTTGCCTGTCACTCAGCCACTGCCTTTACCATTCAGCAATATTGGAATCCAAACTTAAAGATTGCAGTTTAT